CTTAGAATCGTAAGTTAATTCACGACCCGATTGATTGACAAAATGGTCTCTTTTTGATCAATCCAGACATTTATGTCCTAATTTATCATTTATTTATTTTTTTTTAATCATCATTATTTCAAGTTTGTTAACACGTTTTCATTAATTTTCCGGTCTATAAATATTCGGCGATTTTTTTCTTTGAACAGGTTTTCCGCGTAGACGTCAACATCTATTTTCATGGAAGAACGTTTCTCTTTTTGGGACCAATCAACAATATGTCACGTGGTGAAAACTTAGTTTCACTTCATTTTTTTATTTAGGCTTTCTCCTACACCAAACTTTGCATACGCAAACAATTCAGCAGAATAAATTTTTTATTTATTCAACATTCATGTTCATTGTTTAATAACACACATTAAAAATCCTTTCTTGTAGCCGCTAAAATTTATTGTTTAGATATCATCGTTTTTATTATTTCCCTATCAACCCGTTATTTTATTTTTTTTTAACTCATTTTTATTTCCCTATCAACGAACCCCTTTATTTCTTCATTTCTACTCGTTATTATTTCCCTATCAACTGATGAATGTATTTTTTTATTCTTTCTGTTTCTTATTTGCTTATCAAACGAATCGTTTAATTCATAATTCTTACTCGTTATTTCCCGATTATCCGAAATCTTTATTTCTTTATTCTTACATATTTTTATATCTCTATCAAATCATTCCTTCATCCCTTCATTTCTTCATTTCTACTCATTATTACTTCACTTTCAACCGATCCCTTTATTCTTAACTCTTACTCATTTTTATTTCCCTATTAGAATATTCATTTATTTCTTCATTCCTATCGTCATTTTATACAGCATTTCTTTCGAAAATATTTACTTCCCGATCATAAATCCTTTTATTTCTTTTAAGCTAATGGCGACGACCGTGTGTTTACCAACTGTTAAATTAGGAAATCTGTATTCCTGATAGAATATTAAATGGTTTGGGAAGAAAGAATATGGCGGACTCAATTGGAATGTATTTCCAAGCAAAGAATAAAACCGAAACAAACAAAAAAGAGAGTTTTTTATCACACACACACATTTGAACACACACACACACAATCACACACACACGTGTTGTTAAATTATATATATATATATATATATATATATATATATATATATATATATTTATATATATATGGCGGACTCAATTGAGTCCAACAAATATATGTATTAAACAACAAAATGTACAATGGACAAAGACATAAACATTTGTGTTTGTGCGTGAACGTAAAGAGTTCGTATTTTGATGAATGTTCGTACGTATGTCTCTGTGTGTGTTTGATGGCGTTTTCCCACTCGAGGGCAAAACGCAAATCTCTGCTAGAGATCACATTTTTAAATGTGTTCGCTGAAATGCAAAGTAAAGAGAGAACGAGACAAGAAATCGCCCAGTATTTATAGTGTAGGGAGAGCGTGCCCTAGTGAACAATTAGGAAATTAAGGAGAAGTTAACTCCGACACCACATTTTTTGATTTTCCTATCAACCGACCTCATTATTTGTACTTGTTATTTTTCGTCAAAGAATCCATTTTTCTTTATTCCTATACATTTTTATTTCACTGTTAATGCTGTTATAGTGAACTAACTACATGGGAATGAACTCTTCCTCCTTTCATAAATACCAACCTGTGAGACTTCCGGGGTACGATCGACCAGACTGTTCGTAAATGTCGAACTCTCTGACTCGGCAGTGGGGAACCTGGACGAGGCTTTGGCGAAGGGTAAAGTTTCGTCCGGTGAGATAGACAGGCCCTGAACCCGTTTATGCGGGTTCAAAGGGAATAATTTTGGCCGGACCTACGGGCTCGGAGAACCCACGGTTAACTTGGCCTTGTGCCACATACATCTCTCGTGGTGGCGTTGTTAAATATTAACAATCGACCAGACTGTTCATAACTGTCAAACACGTTGCCGAGGCAGAGAGGAACCGGGACTGGGCTTTGCCGCAAAGCAAAGTTTCGTTCGGGGAAGTAGACAGGCCTTGAACCAGTTTATGCGGGTTCTAAGGGAATATTTTTTGCCGAGCATACACGTTAAACTCGACCCTGTGTCACATACATTCCTTGTGGAGGGGGCTGTTAAATATACAGTCGACACACAGTCTCTGACCGTGCGACTTCTGTCGAACTCTCTGCTTTGGCAGAGAGGACTCCGGACGAAGCTTTGCCAGGGAGGTAGACAGATCCCGAACTCACTTATGAGAGTTCTAATGGTATATTTTTGTCCGAGCCTACAGGCTCGGAGAAACCCACGTTAAACTCAGCCTTGTGGGGTGGGGGCTGTTAAATATACAGTCAACACGCAGTTTCTGGCTGTGTGCGACTTCTGTCGCACACAGCCAAAAACTGCGGAGAGGAATCAGGACAAAGCTTTGGCAGAGAGGAATCAGGACAAAGCTTTGTTTTAAGGTTTTAAGGGAATATTTTTGGCAGAGTCTACGGACTCGGAGAAACCCACATTAAACTCGGCCTTGTACACTCCTCGTGGAGGGACTGTTAAATATAACCGTATATAGATGCAGTGTAACCTGACATTTTGGACGGACATTTCTATCCGCCGACTAATCACATTCTTACTTTGTATATATCTGTTATTTCAATACACTTGTTTAACCTACCGTTTTCTAACTGTGTCTTTCTTTCTGGCCCCTAACAGGCCACAACAGTTAACCAATCCCTTTATTTCTACATTCGTACTCATTTTTATTTTCCTTTCAACTGATTCCTTTCTTTGTTCATTCCTATGAGTTATTACTTCCCTATCGAACGATCAATGGTTGCTGAGTCAGTATGTCGGCGCGCATGGTGGTTGTTGAGTCAGTGTGTTGGCGCGTGTGGGGTTTGTTGGCATCTCTCGCAACTTAGTTACTGACGATATTCAGTCACCCCGCCACGAGGGCGTCATGTGGCACAAGGCCGTTTTAACGTGGGATCTCCGAGCCCGTGGGCCCGGCCAAAAATATCCCATTGAACCCGTATAAACAGGTTCAGGTTCGGGTTCCTCCCCGCCCGAAGGCAGAGAGTTCAACCGATCAGCCAGTCGATACTTGAACTTAGTTGCCTGAATCAAGTGAAGCGACCTATTTATTGATTTTTGGGGTTTCAATCCGGCTCCAGATAGGTGAGCGGGAAAACAGATTTGTCGCAACTTGCTATATTTTTGGGGTCCTTTTAACCAATGAGAAGTCAAGTTTGAAAAAGTGAAGTGATAATTGGTTAAAGTTGGCTTGGGAGAAAAGTGCATTTTTCCTCAGGGGTGATAGGCAAATATGGAGGATTCCTTAATTTCAACTCATTTTTATTTCCCTATAAACGAATACTTTAATTTCTTTATTCCGATATTTATTCCTTATTTCCCTACAAACGATTCTTTTATTTCACTATTCCCACTTGTTTTTATTTCCCTATTAACACATTCCTTTATTTCTTTATTCCAATGTACTTTTATTTTCGTATCAAGCCGTCACGTTATTCCTTCATTCCTACTCGTTTTTATTCCCTATCAACGAATCCCTTTATTTAATTATTCCAACTCATTTTTATTTCACTCTCAATCCACACCTTTAATTCTTTATTCCAACTCACTTTTATGTTCCTATCAACGAAACCCTTTATTTATTCCAACACATTTTTATTTCCCTATCAATACATCCACTCATTTATTCATTCCTACTCATTTTTATTTTCTTATCAACCCATGTGTGAAGGCCTAAAATGTGCGTGTACATTGTGCATTTATCCACAACAAATAAATTAAACGAACATATGAAAACAACACAACTTGAAGAAATCAAGGAAAAAACAACGTAGTTATAGATTTCAACAATAACATGTATTTATATAGATATTTGACATACACAAAGTGATGATAGGTTGCTTGTTAAACGTGGCAAGTGAGATAAGATTGCAAAAAGTGTCCATGCAGAGATTTGGTGAATGAATGTTGATGGCTTAAGTTTGTTTGTGAAATTAAAACAGTTTGATTTCTGCAAGGTAAAATGTCAATTGTGTGAGTTTAATCAATAGTGTGTATGTGTGTGACAATTGTAAGTGTTGATTCAAGTTATGAAGAGTTATGTGCCTTTGGCTGATATGCTAAAGTTGATTAAATGTACAATTACTATTTCGTAGTGATAATGTCACTTTTTTTTAGTAAATTGTAAGTTTCTTCATGCGGCAATAGTAGTGCGAGTTGTGTTAAGTTGATGAGAGGCTGGTAGTGTTATTGAGTCGGTGTGTTGGTACGCGTGAAGTCTGCTGGCATCTCTCGAAACTCAGTGTCTGACTGACTTGAATTAAGTCAATCAATTCTTTTTTTTTTTTTTTTTAGATTTTCGGGTTTTCGAATAGGCTCCAGACATCTGCGCGGGAAAAAAGGATTTGTTTCAACTTGCTACATTTTTGTGCCCTTTTAACCAATGGGAAGTTGAGTTTGGAAAAGTGAAGTGATGATTGGTTAAAGGTTAATTTGGGGAAGAGTGCATCTTCCCGTAGGGGGTGACAGGCAAGTATGGAGGATTCCATAATTCCTTCATTCCCACCCATTTTTATTTCACTTTCAATCCATCCTTTTATTTCTTTATTCCAATTCATTTTGTATTTCGCTGTCAACACATCACATTATTTAATTATTCTAACTTTTTAAAATCTTCCCCCTCAAACCATCCACGTATTTTTCATTCCCATTCGTTTTTATTTCTCTGTTAATCCATACCTTTTTTTTTATCAGTCAATAGTGTTGTCCTGATGAAAAGACTGATGGACGTTTTCATTTGTAACACACTGGAAATTAAAAATCAACAAAGGCCCTTTAAAGAAATCATTTTCAACTCAAAACACGATATTCAAAATCAACTCAACTTTAAATCAAAAGAATAAAGTCGTTTTTCAGCCAATGAAAATAAATCAAATAAACACATCTAGCTGAGCCACCTTTATGGAATCTGATCTTATAAGAAGTATGGTTACCTACATAGACAGAGTAAACACAGCGTTAGACAGATCATCCGGCCAATATACTGTTTTGCCTGAGTCAGAGCACTTCCATTATCATCATGAAAAAAAAAGAAACCTGATACATCGTTTTCACCGATCACAAGCAAAATCAGATAGATATAATCCGCGTGATTATAGACAGCTGGATTTCATCTCACAATTTACCACCGACATACGGCACATAGCAGGCAACGACAACATTGTCGCCGATACTCTATCGCGAGCTTCCTTACACAGTACCACTGAAGAAAAGCTGGATATGGAAATTTTAGCAGACGAACAAAAAAGGGACATCACTCTATTTGACTCATTGCAGGATTCGTCATTAAAAATTGAACATCCTTTGTTTTTCGGTGCAAAGTTGATCGCTTGTAACACAAGCACTTCTAATTTTAGACCTTTAGTACCCGTCAGCATGCGAAGGAGGATTTTTAATCATTTTCACTCATTTTCACACCCCGGTTTCAAAGCTACGACAAAAATGATCTCCGAACGTTTTGTCTGGCCTAACATGAACAGTGACATTAGAAGTTAGACTCAATGTTGTATAACTTGCCAACATACTAAAGTCCACCGCCATACCAAATCACCACCTGGTAATTTCGTCACGCCAGACGGCCGTTTTCGTCATCTACACGTCGACTTAGTGGGTCCCTTACCGGAAGTGCACGGACACCAATACATCCTTGCTATTATCGACAGATTTTCTAGATGGCCAGTTGATATTCCTCTGCAATCTACAACCGCTGAATCTGTTGCTAAGTCTATACTGAAAAACTGGATCTCGTTTTTTTGGATGCCCATCAGTGATAACAACAGATCGTGGCCCATAATTTCAGTCAACACTCTTTAAAGAATTCATAAATCTTCTTGGAGAGAGACGTATATCTACTACAGCATATCACCCCTGTGCTAATGGCCTCGTCGAACGTTTCCACCGTCAACTAAAGGCCGCATTAACTAGCTCCAATGATAACAACAAATTATCCTGGATGGACAATTTACCCCTCGTAATGCTTTCGCTGCGGTCGCAGGTAAAAGAAGACATTCAATGTTCACCAGCTGACATTGTTTTTGGACAGCCATTAGTTTTGCCAGGACAATTTCTGTCTGATAGCTCAGCCTCAGACCCAATATCTATAGAGTAGGATGTCTACTTTAGCATTTACGCCTACTCGTTTTCAAACTAAGGATATCTTCGTTCCTACATTTTGAACAAGTGTGACTTTGTCTTTATTCGATGCTGTAAAAAAGCCACTCACTCCGAGTTACTCAGGTCCGTTTCGTGTCCTTGCTCGGCATAATAAATTCTATACCGTTCAGATCGCCAGTGGACGATCCAACATTTCGATTGATCGCTTTAAACCAGCTTACATAGAACGGAGTACAGAACCCAACCAACCATCACCATCACCGAGCGATATACAGTAAGAACCCGAAACACCTGCACACACACTATTATACAAAGAAAGGAAGAGAAGTTCATTGGCTTCAAAAATTCAATAGCTACATAACATATTGAAAAAAAAACAGCTTTTCATCACCTTTTCCAATCTGGGGTGGGGTGTAGTGACTACTAATACGTTTGCCACGCCTACATTTTTCTCAACTGTCATTGGTTAAATAATAAATACGGTTTACCACAGGACAATTTACTGATCGCAGTTACCGCACTGAATTTTTCCTGTCGTGAATTTCACAAACATGCTTTTGTTAAAAAATCACCGATTGGTTAATTTTTCATCCAATCATATATTCTGTGTTCATTCAAATTTCTCCCGCCTTTGTTCCTGGATCTTACCAGTAGTTATAAAAGCAACGTTTCGTTCCAAAAATAGACAGTAGAATTCAGCAACTCACACGTGTCTACACAGACTATTAATTCTACTCACTGCGCAAACACAGACACAGAACTTGAATTACATTTCGCCATCAGTTCTCTGTGAACAAACCAACACTGTTAGTTATACAAATAACACACAACTGAATTAACTGTATGTTCTTCTGAATGCAACATTCTATTTCAACATAGAACTTTGAACATTCTATTCAAGAAACATCCTTAATTACATTTTATATTATTCAAGCTAACAGATAAAAGGAAACTACTTTTTTCTCCTTAATATTGACACATTACAAAAATTGTTTTGTACTTGTTGATTTTAATATATATTTTATCGTTGAAACAAAAATCGGTTTTTCATTGTTTTTACTCGATTCAATAATGTATAAATGTTAAATGCCCTTCAACACGCAGCCACATTAATCTTTTCAACATAAGCAGCATTTACAGTGTAAGTAAAGATAAGCTTCGTTATAATGATCAGCCTTGCGTAGAGTTGAAACAACCAAAAAAAGTTTGTACTTATTTTATCGTTTGAGGGTTTAAGCATGGTTATAATGATCGAACTCAAGTCAGCCTTGCGCTGAGTTGGAACGACCAAAAAGGGTTGATTTACTTCATATTTATTTTATGACGGTACGGAATTTGAAGGTTGTGTTTTGGTGTCTATTTTAGATGTGTTCGTATGTAAACAATTAAAGAAGAAACATACAAAAACTTGGGTTTCTACCACGGACTGTTTATTCTCCTTTTTTAAAAAAAATATAAACTGTAGTTAAACAAAATTCTTAATGTCTCTTGTGTATGTTCGTTTTCTTTCTGGTCCAGAAGTTAGGGTAAGTAAGTATAAGCATCGTTATAATAGTCGAGGAGCTCAAGTCAGCCTTGCACAGGGTTGGAACAACCAAAGAAAAGTTTGTACTTATTTTATCGTTGGAAATTTTAAACATTGTTACAGTATGTCCAATTTCTTTTTTGTGGTCCAGAACTTAGGGTAAGTAAGGATAAGCATTGTTATAATGGTCGAGCTCAAATCAACCTCGCGCTAAGTTGGAACAACCAAAGACATGGGTTGGAAAGTGGAAAGAGAGTTCAATTGTCAGTGTACCGAGGAAACGAATGTGTCTCACAGGGGCCATCTTTTTTTCCACGTTCTGCTTTTACATCAAAGAAGAGAAAGAGAGCGGGAGAGGAAATATTTGCCTTTTTATAGACTTAACCAGCGCCGCCTAACAACATTTGACGAAGCCAAGTGTCTGGTGGTGGGGGTAGTCATATTTTCGGTTCCTTTACTGATAATACCATGAGAAAATGTATTTTTTTAGGTGTTTATTATTATTATTATTTTATTGATTGATTTTATTTCATTTTCCCACAATGTATTTAACTGATTTCTAGGAACACATTTTAATTCTTTAATTTTTCTATAAATAGTTTTCTGTAAACATTTCTGTAAATACTAATTTGTACATTTTTATAAATCTTTATTTTATTATTGAGGTTTGAAAACCTTCAATTGTTTTTAACAATATTGAAACACGGTATTTTCGTGTTCAGGAAAATGTTAATTTTTTATCAGTTAAAACACACACACACACACACACACACACACTAGCAAAATTAGCCATTTATTAAATAAATTTAATGACAAGAAGTTAAAAATACAGATCAACAGCTGATATATGTTTTTGTTTTAGGAGCGTTGAGGAAAATGATCAAACTAATTTTAGTATGGCAGCCTATAAGAGCACTAATTACGTTAGTAAACGCACTTGTTCTTTATTAAAGACCGATAAAAAAATAACATCTGTGCATTTAGGAGAAAATAATAACTAAATATCTTAAGTTCTGCTGAAAACAAGCATGAAACAGGCTAGTAAGATATATATTCCTATAAAAATTCCTGTTAAGTTGAGTCTTCATAAAGATAATTTACATATATCTAAAATTGTTGGTAATAATAGTTCCATTTTTATTTGCCATTTTTTCGTTTAATAAGTGATGGGAAAAATTCAAGATATTTTAAAAACAGACAAAAATATGACAAATAAATAAATAATACAACATTATTTTATAAATATTACAATTAACATCTATATTATTGTTAGAGTTATATAAGCGACCTTCGAGTATTTGTCCATGGTGTAAGCGACCTCGCCACATCTTTATAGTGACGTACAGCCGAAGGAAGATTTTTAACAATTCGACACACAGACCGGCGAGTCTCGGCTTAAATAAAGTAAGTAAAAGATTTACGTAAAATATATCTTTTTGTTTTTGTAGCCCCCGTCCGCTTCCCCTTAAAGTAGAATTCCTACTGCTATTCTGTGTTCATTTTAATTGGTGATATCTTATCTAGATTTCTTACGGGGACTTTTTCTTTAGAGTCCCACACCCCTTGAAGGAGGCGTGTAAAAAGGGGCGAAAAAGGTGGACTGAGGCGACTACTATTCTCTCCGTAAACGAATTTTAAAAAGAAATGGATTGTCTGTCGTTTAAGAGGAGGATTTCTTTGGTTCTAAAGTGATTTCCGGATAAACAATATAGTTATATAAAAACGATAAATGCTGCTATTGTAGGTAAAACAAAAAAAAAAAAAACTCTACAACATATGAATCCTGATTTTTTTTTTTTTTACCTGTATTTATATTGCAAATTGTACGTAACTGTTTTAAATACTTTATTTCTTCGACTCTCCGTCCTGAAATATTGTTGGAAGGAAGACAAATGACTTTAAAAGTTTGCAAAAACAACATGAAGAATTAAAAATTGATATTTTTTCTGTGTATCGATCATATTTTGATGAAAATTTTAGATGTGTTTCTTTAGTAAATATGCCATATGACACACACAAATAAATAAATGATTTCAGTTTCTTTTTTTCTTCATTAAGAAAAAATCCCAAACGTTTTATTTTTGAGAAGTAATTGTAAAACAAACTTTAAATACGCTTTTTTCCCCCTCCCAGACTTTAACACTTCTTAAATAATGTTTTTTCTTTCTTTTGCTTTTGTGCATTTATTTTTATTTTCATTTAAAATGTGTTTTCTAATTTAATCATTATTCACGCATCTCCCCTGGGGAAAACAAGAGCTAGTCAAAAAGTGAAAGTGATACTTCTTAAATTTGACAAACAAACTGTCATCCGAAAGAAAAGACCACTGACCTTTTCCGACAATCAATTTGAAAACAATAAGATTTTTAAAAAAATTGTTAATTTTGAAATGTTATTTATTGTCAAAAAATGTTTATAGAATATAATTGGTTTGAAGGGAAATTAAAAAATTTTTTTTTTCAAATTGTCACCTTAAAATTATATTTTAAAATTTCTAGTTTTTTGAAATACCCTTCGTCGCCAAATATCAAGTTAACGTACGTGTGTATTTTATATATATATATATATATATATATATATATATATATATATATTTAAAGATGTAAAAATTTCGGCATAAATTTTTTATTTGAAGTTTAAAATGAATTTTTTAATAAAAAAACATTCTTGAAAATTTATTTAGATTTTTTCCGAAAGTTTAATAATTAAATGTCGATTTCTATTAATTAAACAATTCTCAAGTATTTCAGATAGAAACTTTATACGTTTGATTGTCAGATTTAATTTTTTAATTTTTAATTTTCTTAAAAACTAGCCATTTTCTTAATTTTAAGAAATTTTTAAACAAACACAAATTTATTAATTTTTAAAATATTTAAAAAAAATTTTGAAAAAATATTTTTTTTTAAAATTAAAAAATTTAAAATTTAAAAGTTCTCTGATTTCAAAAAAATCTTTCATTGCTTATAGCAAAAAAAAAATATACAACCAATTATTAACGTTTAATCCCGTTCAAGTTTTTAATTAAAATGATTGATTGACTGAGCCGATGAAAGAAACTACTGATGACCATTCGTAATGACATAATTTTTAAGTCTTTTTTTTAAAAAAATTATTCTATTTTATATGACACACTTAAAATTGAATTTCAATACATAAAATAAAATTATTTATTTTGCTAATAGTAAATGAAAAAAAAAAAAAATAATTTAAAATTTAAAGTTTACACTTTTACAGAATTATCTCTCCCTTTAGCAATCTGTTAATAAACTGAAAAATGTTTTCGATTTGAAAACCCTCAAAAATGATCACGTGAAATAATTTATAATAATGGCAATTTTTTTTCATACATGGAAATAAATAATGTATTAATTAAAAAATATTCATAAAAAATTATTTTTAAAAAAGTGAAATGTATCCCTAAATTTTTAAACTTAGCAATTTTGATTCGTAAATTTTTTTTAAATCTAAAATTTTAATTACATAATATCGAGGAACCCTCCTAATACAGAGATTTACACGATTTAAAACTATTATAAATTTTATAATTAAAATTTTCTTTTAAAGAAAAAATTTTGTAAAATTTTTATTCATCAGAAAAAAATTATTTTCTTCAGACAATAATTCCTTAAATTACTTAAAAAAAAAGCAATTAAAAGCTTTTCTAATTAAATAATATCATAGTTTTATTGCATTCATTATTTTTTCAATTCAGAGCAGATTTTCAGTTAAATAGGATCAAATTTGTAAAAAAAAAAGGTTATTTACCATCTTCTACTTTTAACAAAAAAAAAATTCAGGAACCAAAAAGGTTTTTCTCAAATTTCATTAAATTAAGTAAATGTGGGGTAAAATATTTTAAAAAAATATAATTTTTTACAAAATTTTCTAAAAAAAATATTTCAAAAAATAAATTTCATTCATTTGTGAATAAGTCCTGAAAATTTCATTAAGATTGGACAATTATTTTATTTTTACAAGAATTTCCAAATCAATATTTTTCAACAAAAAACGCAAAAAAAAACTATTTATTTTAAACGTCGTGACGTAAACAAAGACGATTTTAACCAAAATTTCGAACGTGTTAGAAAATATTAAAAATTTCAAAAATAATTAAAAAACTTTTTTTTTTCATCTAAATAATAACATAAGCATTTGACGATAATACTTTATTTTCTTTAAATTTGTGGCATTTTTCATTTACGGCTTGGTTGTTTTTTCCGCGAAAACAGTGGACATGTTATATATATATATATATAAATTTTTTGAATATGATATTGAAAATAGAATATTTTTTTTTTTTTTAATTTCTGAATATGGATTTTTTATTTAGATTAACCTTTTTTAAAATTTTTCTTTTTTTATTGGTTTTTCAAATTTTCTTGAATCATCAAAAAGATTTGTTCAGTAACCAGGAAAAATCTTATTCGTGTGTCAAAAAATTTTCAGCGGTTAAATGTTTTTTTTTCTATTTGCTTTGTTTCGCCTGTTTTTATCATAAATAAAAGTAAAATAAATAATCATTTATGGCTTGGTTGACCCGCGTGTCCATAGGTTCCAAATTTCTATTTTTTTGAAGCATCATCTTTAAGAGACACGTTAACCTTTGGAATTTTTCTATCATTGGTTGTAAAGAAAAAAGAGAAAAAAAGTAAAACCAGGAAGACTATGTCAATCAGTAATCTTGTCAAAAACACAGTTTCTTACTCAACCTTTTCTTTTAAATGAAGAAGACAATCATGGTTTGTGAAATCAACTTGCTAACCACTATTTTATAGTGCATTCTGGGCATGATGATAAACTACATCCAACAGCAAGGCCTTTGATCAGGAGATTGAAGGTTTTGAGGAGTGTAGATAACCACCTTTTAATTGCTGCTGTTCCCAGGCCCACTTTGACCTGGGGTGGTAGCACTTGTTAGGGTTCCAGCTATTGGCAAATAAAGACCCCCCCCAACAAAAACAAAATACCATGAAAGTATAAAAAGATCAACAATATATTTTATCTGTAGTTGAAGGTATTGAAGTGCATTCAAAGTAAATATAGTCGTAACCACCAAATTGTGTTCAAATTATTTAGATTTCAGCATTAAATAACCCATAGAGGTGTTGATATGTCGCTAAACAAAATCAACCAGCCAAACCAACTATTCCATAGTGAGGAGCCACTTTATTATCAACCTTCCCTTATTTTGAATTGGAACAACTTTATATATATATATATAGCTCACCCTTGGGTTAAACTGTAGGTGGTTCTTATACATTTACATTAGTGAGAGAGCCTGTGTGCAGTAATATTTTGAGAGTCAGGTTCTCGAATGGAGTGCATTCTCTCTTGGACCCTGAGAACCTTGCAGCACTTGCAGTAGAAACCATTGTGAACTTCTTTATGCATGCACACACACACACACACACACACACATATATATATATATATATATATATATATATATATATATATATATATATATATATATTTTATTATTATTTTTATTTTTTTTTATTTAAAAAAATTTGGGTTGGCAATTTCTTCAGCTCTTATCATTTGTTTTGGTGAGTACAGCGTCTGAAATGTGATAGAAACAGCAGAAGTGAAAATTAGTAATAACACTTCAGAAATTGCTTTTTTATTTACTTGTAAACCTGTAAAGGATGATCTTTTTTAAAAGGGATGATAGCCTAGGCATAAGATCTCTGACTGATCTCATCTTGAAGCAATTGGACATCTACTCACACTGAAACAGTCTGTCTGTGGATGGCTATATATATATATATATATATATATATATATTTAATCATTTCCTTCCCAAACAAGGCAATAATACCATTAAGATACAAGGGGTTACTGTGAGTGAAAGAGAATGAGAGAACTTTAGTGAGTAGAAAGAATAGAAGAATAGGATTTAGGAAGACAGATGATGATGACTGGTGTTGCATTAGAATCTTTGAAGTTTCTTGGTGGCAGTGAGAGAAGAAATTATTAGAATAGAACTTATGGTTGCATTTGGCAATTTCAACAGTAAAATGATGAGACCTAATTGCCAATCTAGTAGTATGCTTAAATTTGTGGTCAAGATACTAATAAGGAGAGCTCATTTGAGCAATTGCCATGAAAATATTTATAGAAAAGACAGAGGGAAGCTATGTCACGGGGGGGGGGGCGTAAGAAAGTGACTAAAGTCAAAATGACAGGTCAGTACCAATTTGGATTTTGTTGAGAATCTAGAGAGGACTCGACCAGATATAGCTGCAATATTCAATGCTCAGATGAAGGGTAGATCTATAAATGTGTATGATGGATACTGACTGAAAAGCAGTGAACCAACTTTCTTAGTAACAAACCTGGTAATTGATTCAATATAATCACTTCACTTCATGTCAGTGGAAAATGTGCGACCAACAAAG